AGCCATAAACCGCATTTGAAATTTTCAGCGGACGAATGACTGGTGGTGAAGTACGACCAGCCACACCGACGCATCTCAATCTCTCGATTCGTGAAGTATAAAAGCAACATGTCCAGCGTACAGAAAGGAGCTATTTGGCACACTTTACTCAGTTTAGTTTTGTTCAGTTTTGCGAGATTATCTGTACACGCTTGAAGGCACGTTTTTGGGAATCCCTACGAATTAATTGTTAATCCCTACGAATCAGTGCACGAAAAGACCATCTTCATTCATAGTCGATCCTTTCCTAAGAAAGCCCTTCCGGAAGCACTCAAAGTATTAAACTGAACGCCGTGGAGGCCAACAGCGCTGACTTCGAAAATGCATTTAGTGGATGACAAAGTGCATAAGGATGTTATCATAGATTACCTCATAGAGCCCATTGCGGAAAGAAACAAAGAACAGATCAACGTTCTTATTTTCCGTGGCCAACGTGAAAGCCGCTGTATTGCAGAAGCAGCAATTATCCTCAATAATGAGTACCTGAAGCAGTACTGATCTATTTTAAAAGAGGTTGACGATAGAACTAAATGTATTCTAAACAAACTGCATACTACTAAGAAAGTAAAATCGAAACAGCAAAGGTTAGAAAGTTTGGATCGATACGCATTTGGATGTCTCTCATATCTCCATTTTCCACATTCTATGAGCAAACTCATTTGCTGAGTTCCACGCCTAGAGCCTGGAGTCTACATACAGTAAATTCCAGTCTTCAGATTGGTTACAGCGCCGATTGGAGTGGATATAAAAGGTCGGACACGACGGTCTGATAAATCAGGGTAGGAGGACGGAGATGAATGATTCCCACGGCACTTTCATTTTGCTCAAGTGTCACTTGGCGCACTCACTTTACCCTGGCATGCCATGATACGTCATGTGTGATTACTTGGAGGGACTACTAGTCCGACTCACAACACGGCGCTGTTGGGTGACGGGGGGGGGGGGGGCATTTTGCACTTTCGCTACTTCCCATCGACGTGTCGACCTATCTAGACAGCCTCTTCTCGAGTTGACAGGTTTTAACATGATGGCTTGACGACCTTGTTCCAGCTTCACAAGAGTTCACAGGTTTCGCCAGAGTGAGACTTGTAAACCGGAACTAAGG